TTTTAAACCCTAAAACACACTGCATATTTCTTTTAAACTGTTAGTGCAAATACTTAGTTGACAAAATATCTTATTTTTTTACATAAAGTTTAATTTAGCAGAATTATTGAATTCATATATCAGCAAGGTTCAAATGTTTTTTCAGAGACACAAATCTAAATTATTGTGTTAGTGTCACTTTATTGTGCAGTGTTCAGAAGTCTCGAATTGGAGGTACTCTCCAGATCCCTAAAGCACTTAAGCTTGCTGAAAACCTCTATATGTGAAGAGTGTGTCCTCTTTTACTTGTTTTTCTTGCGAAAAGTGCAGATTTCAGTAGAAAATGTCCCTTTCTAAATGTACCTGGTTACACCCAGGGCCGGCGCTACCTGTAAGGCGACCTAGGAATCACCGGTGCAGCTCCTCATGCTGCGCCGCCTGAGTACTTTTGCAAGCCTCAGGCGGCGCAGCACTGCTGTATGGAGGGCGGCCGGATTTGAGTGACCGGCAGGAGGGAAGCGCAAAGCGCTTCCTCCTGCTGGTCTCTCAATGTAGCGTGGCCAGGCGGCGCGGGACAGGAACCTCTGTTTCCTGTACCCGGCTGCCGTCCGACTGAGAGGAAGTGCTCACTCAGTCAGCGCTTCCCTTCAGTCCACCGGCAGCCGGGTACAGGAAACAGAAGTTCGCGTTCCGAAGCTACATAGGCAGGAAGGAAGAGGAGGGTAAGGACCACTAGGGGAGGGAGGGGGGAGGGTAAGGACCACAGGGGGAGGGGGAGTAAGGACCACTGAGGGAGGGGCGGGAGTAAGGACCACTGGGGGAGGGTGGGTGGAAAGTAAGGACCACTGGGGGAGGAGGGGGAGTAAGAACCACTGGGGGAGGGTGGGGGTAGTAAGTAAGGACCACTGGGGAAGGGGGGTGAAGGAACACAGGGGGAGGGCTATGGGGAGTAAGGACCACTGAGGGAGGGGAGGTAAGGACCACTGAGGGAGGAGGGGGGGAGGTCCACTAAGGGGTTTGGGAGAGGGAGGACCACCAAAGGGGGGGAAGGAGGGAGGACTACTAAGGAGAGGGGCGGAGGGTAAGGACCACTGGGGGGAGAAAGAGGATAATGACCACTGAGGGGGGGATTACCACTAAGGGGGTGGGGGAGGAGGGGAATGTCTACTAAGGGCTTTGGGAGAGGGAGGACCACTAAGGGGAGGGATGTAGGAACACGAGGGGGAGTGAGAAGACCGCCAAGGGAGAGCACTAAGGGACAGGAGGGAAGGGGAAATCAATAGTTGACAGGAGGGTGAGCACTATGCAAAAAATTAAAAAATAAAGAGCTGCTCCCCTCTCAGTCCCTATCCTACCCCACAAACCCTCTCTTTTACACTACAGACATACACAATGCATCCCCCCCCACACACACACACACAGAGAAACATACAATGCATCCCTACTCACACACACACACACCCGAAACACACAATGCATCCCTTACGTTCACACAAACTCATTCTTACACACAGAAACAAAATGCATCTCTTACACAATCAATGCACCCCTTACAGACACACACTGCATTCAATTAAATACACAGAAACACACCTTGCACCCCTTACACACACACACACACACACACACACACCCAGAAACATACAATGCATTCCTTACACGCAAACACACACTACATCCCTTATAGATATTGGTATCCCTATACACTACATTCTATAAGAACACACACACGTTCAGGGGCGGACTGACACCTCACAGGGCCCTCAGGCAGTGGGTGATCAAGGGCCCGCCCTCCTGGTCCTGGTACAAGGTACAAGGTTTTCTGGTCCTCTGCTATTCTTCTCCCCCTTCTTTCTGCTGCTTTTACCCATATATTATGTGTAGGCTGCCCAGCACACAGAATGTCTGTGTGAGAGCCGCACATCCCTGACTCCCACATCACTGAGTGCCCCCCAAAATGGCCAGATTTACTGTTAAGGGGTTAATCCAGCCAAAACCAGTGTTTTAATAAACACTGTTTTTAGATGGAGTAACCCTTGCTGGCGTGCCTACCCAGCAATTAAAATAAAGAAATAAAGCAAATTTAATTACACACTTCCACTGATTTTTCTTAGGACATCACAAGCAGCATCCCCCACATGTACAACCTTACAATTACCCACATGTGTTTGAAGTCTACTTGTGGGGTTGCGTGTGTGGGGATGTTGCTAGTGATGTTGTGTTCCTGTATGTCAAAGTGTTGTGTTAGGATTAATCTCTTGTTTTACCTATTGTACAGCGCTGCAGAATATGTTGGCGCTATATAAGTTATTGTAAAAGTTGTGTGTCTGGAGGCTGTGTGCAGTATTGCAATGGTGGGTATGCTGTTTGTGATGTGTATGTGAAGGGAGGCTGCATGTAATTTTGTATGTGTGGGGATGCTGCTTGTGGTGTGTCAATACAGTGAGGCTCCTTGTGGGTTTTTGCGTGTGTGAATGGGGCTATTTGCAGTGCATTATGTGAGTGGAGAGGGCTGGCTGTGTTGCAGTGTCTGTGGGATAGAATCTGTAGTAGTCATCTGGTGGTTACTGGGGCTGTAGTGTGTGCGTGTTTGGATAATAGAGGCTGTACTCTGTATAAGTTGGATAGTGGCTGTAGTGTGTGTGTAGGGGGATAAATGCTGAAATAGGTGCAGGGAGGCACAGGGGCTGTGGTGGGCGCGGGGAGGCACGGGGACTGAAGTAGGGGTGGGGCTGGACAGAGTATGAGGTGGGACATAGAGGTTGACTGTGCTGCTGGGCCCCTGACCCTGGGGGCCCAGACCTTGAGCTCTGTAAGGGGCCTTAAAAAAATGGAGCTGCTTCCTGTTCGTTAATTGTTGTGAGCACTGTTACAAACAGTCTCCTGAGAGCCTCTTCTACACCAGACCTGTGGAGCCAGACAGAGCCCATCATCAGCCTCTTGTCCTCATCTGGTGGTAAGTAGGCAATCCAATATATTATTAGTGGCACTTATCTCTAATTTACCTCACATTAAATGGATACTATAGTCACCAGAACCACTACAGCATAATGTAGTGGTTCTGGTGTCTATAGCCTGTGCCTGTAGGCTTTTTAATATAAACACACTGTCTTTTGAGATAAAAGACACTTTGTGAAGACTGGCATTGTGATGTTACATGGTGGGCAGGACATATGGGGGGTGGCAAAAATCCTTGCACCGGCCCTGCCTAAAGGGCAGTACTCTTCTCTCTCCTACAGCTCTGCTTCACTCCCACCTAATTTGACTTCAATTTCCTGTCCTAATGTGTTTTATATCCCACCTCCTATAGACTGTAAGCTAGTTTGAGCAGGGCCCTCTTCAACCCATCGTCTCTGTAGGTTTTTGTGTAATTGTCCTATTTATAGTTAAATCTCTAATAATATTGTAAAGCGCTACAGAATCTGTTGGCGCTATATAAATGGCAATAATAATAATATATTATTCATGTCAGACTCTTGTTGCCTGCTGTCCTCTTCTTCCACCTTCTTACTGGCTCTGTCCTCCTCACCCAAATCAGGTTGGGTGTTCTTCACTAACATGTATGGAAGCCTGTCATTGGCCCGTGCTTTCATTGGCTGTTTCATACAGAGCTATGAGTCACACAGGTAACATCACATCTCCACCACTATGTTTCTCTTAGGGGTCCATCTTCAACTCCTGGTGCTTCATCTGGCTGGAGTTCTCATCAAAGTTGTACATTCATGTAGACCATGTATAATTGCAGACATATTCCTTTTCTTAGATTGCACTATTATTCTTAAAGGGATTGTACAGTGTTTGGAATACAAATCTGTATTACTAACACTAGAGAGCACTCTGGTCCCCCCTCTCTTGCAACCCGCCCCCCCCCCGCCCCTTCTGATTTATAAAGGATTAAGCAATCCTTTAGTCACTTACCTGATTCCAGTGCTGATGTCCCTTGGCGCTGAGAAGGTGCTCTACCTCCTCCGAAGTCGTCTGATGGGTCTAATGCATTATTCTATCCTTTCCCAGGTGGATTTTACAGGCGATAGATGTCCTCATGCAGACATCTAATGCAAGAGGACGTCCATTCAGTTAGCCACCAGAAAGTGCCTCTAGTGGCTGTCTGATTGGCAGCCAATAGAGGTAGTTTTAGTCCTACAATGTACTTATTGCAGTTTCTGAAAAACTGCAATGATTTACATTGCAGGCCCAAGTGGGACTGGGACACCGCACCCAGACCACTTGAAAGAGATGATGTGGTCTGGGTGACTATAGTGTCCATTTAATTATACTGCATATTCCATTATCTGATGAGGTCTTAAAAATTGCAATGTGTAACTACACAGATTTCTGAAAACTTGAAAAAATATGTTTTAATAATGTAAATTATGTTACCATGTGTTAGATCTATTCAGACACCTTTATACATACCATATTTTTGCAAAGGGAATGGTAAAACCACATTGAGCCCCAAGTGTGATCAATGGATCGTTTACAATGTTGTCAATAAAATTTACTGAAAAGCAGTTACTCTGTAAATTAGCAGCCATTAGAGAGCAGCCTCTGCTTCCATACTCAAAAATCTTATTATTAGTGACTTATGATCCATTTTTAATGAGACTTAACATCCACCATAGAAAATAATAGGACATGTTAAATACTAGCTACCAACTCGTTTTCCATGCCAGATGTTAATTTTACCAGCTGCTACGATCTAACCAAAATGAAAACCTCTCTCATGAAGGTGAAAAAGACAATGTAACATTAACTGAAAACTCTCCATATATCCTCTAGAGAGAGAGACGTATATAAAAAGTATGTAATTAAAATGGTCCCTATCTTTCCCTTCACCCCTTGGGCTACTGACTAAAAATAATGAAAGTGTGTCGTCCAAGAGATTACCCGTCTCCTGCCTCTCTAAAATGTTCATAAGAGGCCAGGAAATGGCCATACTCGTTTTGTTAGTGGAGCGCTGCTTTACCTTCATTCCCTGTGCTCTGTGGGTAAACCTGAGTACTGAACATGGATTCATTTAGTTCTCTGCATTTACTTGAACTGTCTTCTATCTGTAATATATATATATATATACACACACACACAGTGGTGTATTTTGGATTTGTGCTGCCCTAGGCACGACTAAATTCGAGCACCCCCAAAATCTAAATTTCACCCCCCCAATTCGTGTCAAGGCCACTTTGTTTGACTGACAGACACATGCCCTCATTGATACATGCACTGATATACACTCACTGACAGATACACAGTCATTGGCACACACATACAGTCATAAGCACACACTGTTTAACCAACACACACTTTCACTGACAGACACACACTGACACACCTACTCACTGACAGGCACACACTCTCAGATACATATAAAATGACATACACACACTGACACACACTCACAGGCACACCTATTATCACTGAAAGACACACACACTTTCACTCACTCACAGACACACACTGACAGCTACACTCACTCACTCACTCACTCACAGTAAGGTGGACAGCCCCAGAACACAAGGCAAGCAAGGCATTTGTCTGGGAGCTTGGGTGGCATTTTTTGGCGCCCCCCCTGAAAGTGCCGCCCTAGGCAAATGCCTTGTTTGCCTTGTGGTAAATACACCCCTGTGTGTATATATATATATATATATATATATATATATATATATATATATATATATATATATATATATAATCTATAATCTATCTACTATATGGCCAAAGATTTGTGGATGTCTGACCAACACATATATA